TCACGCGTTTGGGCTTTGCTGTTAGTTTTTACTGAGAATTTTGTTTTTCTGATGAGCTTAGTGGGGTAGCCGTTAGACATGAACAGCGATTCAATTCTGTTCATGCCGCGTTCCTGGGCTGGTGTCGAACTTCCAAGACGCTTAGCTCTTAGAAGTTGGGAGTAGAGTACCGATCTTTTGGTTTGGAAGGGATGGGCTGATGTGAATGGAAGGATGATGGGAGAGGCCGTGGGTTTTATGTAGAGTTCAGTTGTCAAAGAGCCATTTTTTTCTAGCGTTATCATGGTGTCTAGGAAGGGAATTTGTTTTTTGTCAGATCGGTCGCTGCGTTCAATAGAAAACTTAAGCGAGGGATGGAAGTTGTTGAGGTGATCGAGGAAGGCGTCTAGAGCATCAGGCCCGTGCGTCCATACTCCGAAAATGTCATCAATATATCTTACATAGAGGGCTGGTTGTAAATTGGCAGAGGAGAGGATCATGCTTTCTACCGCGTCCATGAAGATAATGGCCAAAGGGGGAGCCACGCGGCTGCCCATGGCGATCCCATGGGTTTGTTTGAAGTAACGTTGTCCGAATCTCAGGTAGTTGTTGGTCAAGCAGTGCTTTAGGAGGTTTTCTATGATAGGTAGGCTAAGGTCTAAAAGGTCTATCTTTTCTTTGTGTTTTGAGATTAGCTTCATTGTGAAATCTATCGCCTCGCTTATGGGAATGTTTCCGTAGAGGTTCGCTACGTCAACTGTGAATAGAATCGAACCGGCTGGCACCTGCTTAGGGAAGGATTCATTTAAGCGGTTGAGAAATTCGTAGGTGTTTTTCAAATGAGCTGGGACGAATATCAGAAGCTGAGTGATGAGCCGTTCCAAAAACCATGTCAGTTTATCCAAGGGGTCACCACAGGCTGAAACTATAGGTCTGAGGGGCATACCGGGCTTGTGGCTCTTTGGTAAACCGTATAACTCAGCAGTCCTAGAAGAGGAGGGCTTTATCGCGTTGACGACTTTGTCACTGACTTTACCTGTTAGGTTTGTCGAAATGATTCTTTTTGTCTCAGCTTCAAGTCGGGGCGTGGGATTCTTGGGAATCTGCTCATACTGGGAATATGCGTAAGGAAACTTATGTTCAAAAAGCACAAACCATCACTTCCCAGTATGAGCAGATTCCCAAGAATCCCACGCCCCGACTTGAAGCTGAGACAAAAAGAATCATTTCGATAAACCTAACAGGTAAAGTCAGTGACAAAGTCGTCAACGCGATAAAGCCCTCCTCTTCTAGGACTGCTGAGTTATACGGTTTACCAAAGAGCCACAAGCCCGGTATGCCCCTCAGACCTATAGTTTCAGCCTGTGGTGACCCCTTGGATAAACTGACATGGTTTTTGGAACGGCTCATCACTCAGCTTCTGATAATCGTCCCAGCTCATTTGAAAAACACCTACGAATTTCTCAACCGCTTAAATGAATCCTTCCCTAAGCAGGTGCCAGCCGGTTCGATTCTATTCACAGTTGACGTAGCGAACCTCTACGGAAACATTCCCATAAGCGAGGCGATAGATTTCACAATGAAGCTAATCTCAAAACACAAAGAAAAGATAGACCTTTTAGACCTTAGCCTACCTATCATAGAAAAACTCCTAAAGCACTGCTTGACCAACAACTACCTGAGATTCGGACAACGTTACTTCAAACAAACCCATGGGATCGCCATGGGCAGCCGCGTGGCTCCCCCTTTGGCCATTATCTTCATGGACGCGGTAGAAAGCATGATCCTCTCCTCTGCCAATTTACAACCAGCCCTCTATGTAAGATATATTGATGACATTTTCGGAGTATGGACGCACGGGCCTGATGCTCTAGACGCCTTCCTCGATCACCTCAACAACTTCCATCCCTCGCTTAAGTTTTCTATTGAACGCAGCGACCGATCTGACAAAAAACAAATTCCCTTCCTAGACACCATGATAACGCTAGAAAAAAATGGCTCTTTGACAACTGAACTCTACATAAAACCCACGGCCTCTCCCATCATCCTTCCATTCACATCAGCCCATCCCTTCCAAACCAAAAGATCGGTACTCTACTCCCAACTTGTAAGAGCTAAGCGTCTTGGAAGTTCGACGCCAGCCCAGGAACGCGGCATGAACAGAATTGAATCGCTGTTCATGTCTAACGGCTACCCCACTAAGCTCATCAGAAAAACAAAATTCTCAGTAAAAACTAACAGCAAAGCCCAAACGCGTGACAATGGTAAGATGAGCCCGGCACAAAAACTATCTAAAAGCCCTTGTGACATCACGTACGTCACTCTTCCCTTCATAGATGACAACCTCTCTAGGAAAATTGAATCCATCGTGAAAAAGTCAAAGCTGTCCATGCGTATAGCATGGCAAAGCGGCCACACTCTCTCTCAGAAACTCACTAACTCAGCTCTAGAAAAGCCACCGTGTCCAGCAGGGAACAAAAAATGTCACTGCTGTCTGGCTGGACTCAAAGGTAGATGCCACGTTAAAAACGTAGTCTATCAGATCTTCTGCAACCTCTGCAAACAAAAAGCCACGTACATAGGTGAAAGTAAAAGGAGTGTTAGGCTCCGGTTTAACGAGCATCTACGTGACGCCAAAAACCACACAAGAAACACCCCTTTTGGAGAACACTTCATGACTTGTCACTGTAGCGTGGAACCTAGCCACGATGCCCTCTCCATTTCAATTCTTCAAATCTGCAAAGACGTAGCGGAGCTGAAGATCGCCGAGTCCATCGAAATTCGCAATCATCGCCCCACACTTAACACTATGTCATCATCTTGGACGCTCATCAAGCCAGTACCATACTCAGAGCTATAGACGTCATTAGATCACGACAGGCAGGACTTACATTTAGACTAGATCACATCATTTGACACCATCACTCACATACCGTTTTTACAGTATTTCCCCCTTCTGTTATTCATTCTTTCTTTTATCCATTCATTCTTCCTTCAATCATCACAATCATCGTTTACATATACACTGCACACACAAACACACACACACTCACACACACAAACACAGCTGCTCACAAACACAAACACCTACTCACACCTACATGCACACACACAGTCACTCACTCATACATACGAACTAGCACAAGCCTAACAGGGACCGCTGTCTAATGTCTGTTGAGACTGATGTCGAATGTACTACTTAGCAATGTTATACGATCAATGTTATGGTGTGGTAGTATGTTGAATAGGCATCATACTCATATGTACTGTGAACAAGACGCTGATTTGTGGAAGCTTGCGACGTAATATGTGTAAATGTTGGCAATATGTATAACAAGGTTTAGACCAAGCGTATCCCTATCATATCAAACTGTATTAATTTGTTTCATGCAACCATTCATTTTCCTGCCAAGTAAATCTAGATCGACACCTATTTTGGAAGCGCATGCAAAATATCTGTGAGTGATTTTATCCAAATAATGTATTTAGTCTCATGTGTGTCACATACGTCTCTCTTGTTCCATTGTAACACTGTACCACTGAGGAAGGGCCACGCCCGAATATATATTGGTCTTTAATTTTTTAATTCCTTCAGATATGAGCAAGAGGTTATTTTTCATACTCCTGATAATCTTATCAACAATGCTCAACTCAACGTTTCAATACCTTTATATTTTTGCATAAAACGGGTATCGATTCGATGCAGCTCGTCACGGGGAGATCAATGGTGGTCTTTGCTTTGCGCTACGTGGTGTAGAATTGCTAAAAATTGGGTTAAAAAATTTGACGTCATCATTTTTGAACATTTTTTCCGCTATAACTTGGCAAATAAAGGAGGTAACGATCTAAAATTTAGTATGTATATAGAAGAGCGCAGAGACTATCACATATTCCACGTTATCAAAATTCGGAAGAAATGTTTTTTTTTTGCGTTTTTTCTAGAAACTCAACGTTTTTTATTTTGGGGGTCAAAAACCCAATCTTTTTTTTAATCCGAGATGACAGTTTTGTAGCACCGTCGTTTCTCCGCATGAACATATAAAGAACTTTGAAATTGCTTGTTAACTGTAGCTTTTGTGAGCGTTTCAAGATAACATGTTTTTTGCTCATTTTTGCTCGAACATGACCTCAGTTTGACCTCAACAACTCTTGACCTAAGGTGACCTAAGACTTGAAATTTTGTGTAAAGGTGTCAAATGGATGCCTGGAAAGGTACTGAAAATTTGGTGGCGCTGCGCGCCGCCGTTTTCTTGCTATTCAGGAAAAACCACAGGGGGCAAATTGCCCTCCCCCCAACGGGGGGAGGGCTCACACTTCGTGCAATGGCTGATTGATAAACCATATCATGGGTTTAGCAATCATACCATAACAAAGGCATATGTGACTAGGTACATCAAAATGTGCCTTGAGAATCTCGTTTGCTCTTTATAATTCATGAATTACACTTAATGTGCAATCGCGTAATTACAGATTAATTTAATAATATGTTAATGTACCATCGTGAAAACAGTGCAATTATTTAGCACAATTTAGCACAATTACATGTAATCATTCATCACTAGCACGCGATCCCGCAGAAAAGGAAAAAAAGTTCAGAATTCTGAACTTTATTTCGGTTTCAACTCGTCAGTTTTTTTTGCGGAATTTCGTTCGACGGGAGATCAGACTGGCAGCGTAGCTCGCGCAATGCATTCACAATGGGACGAAGGGACGAACTTTGCGACCCGAACCGAAATCCCGCAGAAACCGAAAAACGTCAGAATTCATGCTAGTGTAGCCTAGGCTTTAGCGGCACAACGTATCGCCTGTTGGTAAATTAGTGTCATGGACCACTACATAGTTATCGAGCACCTCCGGATGGAAATTCGACGATAAGCACTCTTTGAATGACACCTAGTCCTAGGTCGCTATGGGAGTTGTGTGTGTGTGTGTGCGTGTGCGTGTGCGTGGGGGTGTGATGGAGCGGTTTGGGTGTGTCCCCATCCGGCTGTGTATGTACGCACGGCTCTTGGCGCCGGCAGTGGTTCGGTAACCTGGTCACCATGGAGTGGTGGAACGACCTCTGGCTCAACGAAGGCTTCGCCACGCTGATGGAGTTCATCGGAGCGGGCCACGCGCGGCCCGAGTATCACATGGGACAGCAGGTAGGCGCCTCTTGAAAGTATCGCTTCATGGGCTGTGGCGGCTAGTCGAACTGAGGCCAGTTTTACCGATAGAAAATAACCACCTGCCGGAATTTTTTGCCTAAAGACCGCTTCACGTACAGAGTGTAAACGACAACACCCTATCTGATTACGTGCCCATCGCATTCACGCTCCGTATGTGAAGCGGTCCTTAGGCAAAAAATTCCGGCAGGCGGCTATTTTTCTATTGGTAGAACTGGCCACTGTTCCATTTCAGTTTGACCCCAGCAGTGAGGTCATGGCCTGTATCATAAAAGTACGCTGTAACACGATCCTTCACCAGCAGTAGAAGGAAAACTGCTATATGACGCAGGCACCAGCGGCTGACAACTAGGTCGAAACAGGTGGAGGCCGGCTAGAGGTCATACTCGTATCGCCCTCCCTTTACTCCGTCCACCGCCCCAGGCGGATACCGGCGCCGCTTGGGTTCACCAGCCGGGCGCTCATTGGTCTGCCTTAGTGGGCGCCAAAACTCAGTGAGCGTGACATTTCAAATCACAACGAAGCAAAGTTCCGCCATACCCTTCTCTGAAGAGGCCTTCTGAACGACGTTAACAGGTCATGGGAGGGGGAGGGGGGCAACCTGGCAAAGGCTTGTAAAAGAAGACAGCTGAAGGCTAAATAGTTTTAGTTGTGGCGCACACTAACCGGCTAATTAAAAAATAAAATGTTCAAATAAAGGACTAAACGTTTAGAGAGCAGTTATTTTTTGTGATTGGAATCCGCTCACGGGTGCACTTGCAACCAAGGATGCATTCTGTTAGCGGGTGCAGCTGATGTTTTTTTTTTTTTTGTATTCGTGCACGGGTTTCCGGATTTTGCCAAAACCTGTGGTAGTCGTGCCGATAACGGGTCAAATTTTCAGCTTTGCAATGAAACAAATCTCAACAAATCCATAGCGAGTAGGGTGGCTTCCGTTGACCACATGCTTAGGTCAAACTTCTCCTGGGGTCCTGGGGGTCCTGACCCCCAGGACCCCCCCCCCCCCCTTGGATACGCCGCTGACTCCTGGTCACCTGGTAGGGTGAAGTCGTATAAGAGTACGCACTTAAAGGATTTCTTGCTCTCATTGTTTAATATTTGAAAGAAAGAACTCGCAAATATGGAATATTTAAGTTCATTGAATTAGCCATCAACCCATGAGGCAACGATCCTCCAGCGTAAATGGAAGTGGTCTAAAACTGACGTTTTCTGAACCGCTGCCGTTGCGTACTCTTACCATATGGGGTGTGTAAGAGTACGCACGCCAGGCGGGTAGAGTACGCAAGCATATGAACACACACACCTATGCAGCTTGTACTGTCCAAATGCTTAACATCAAACTCAGAAGACATTTTATTTTTCTAGTATTCAAAAAGGAAAACATAAAATAAATCTTGCAAATCTATAAATTAAGAAATAATCAAATCACGTGGTTCTAAAAAAAATGTACAATCAAAAGGGAGAATAACTCGTACTTAGAAGAATTTCGGGTACGCATCTGCCTCACAATGCTCCATTGATGAAATACCTACAAAACAAACGTCATTGAGCGATATATTGATAATTGTATATTAGGGTAAGGGCGGGTAAGAGTACGCGGGCGATAAGAGTACGCATCAGCTGTTTCGGTTGCTTAGCAACGCGGGTTTGTCGAGTTCATGAAGTGACATGAAGCCGCCAGTGCGTGCATGTCACCAACGGAACGTGGGCGTTGAGCGGTGATGCTGTTGAGTTTAAGGCGATGAATATTATTTTCGAGCGTTATGATATTATTATGATATGGTACAATAATTTTGATACTTGGCAGTTGAGATAAGGTACATTTCCGTGATTGTTGTGGGAAACTTGTGAGGTTATCTGGGGAAATACTGTACAGTGCAATATTCTGTTTGCGAAGTTTTGCACAACGTTTCGGGGTTGTTTTGTGCGCGAATTGATGTACGGTAAGAGGACGCACTGTTCAGGAGGGTAAGAGTACGCAGAATTATACATTAACCCGCGCCCTGCTGGGGGGGGGGGGTGTTTGAACACCCCCCTTGTGGTTTTTCGCGAATATCTCAAAAACGGCGGCGCGGAGCGCCGCCGTTTTTGGTACACCTTATCATACATCAATTCTACACATGTTGTGAAAATTTCAGACCAAGGTCATTCAAGGTCAGGTCACCAGGTCACTTGAAGTGACCTCACCTCATAAAAAGTTTCAATGTCTGTCATAGCTACACCGAGTGACCGATCGCTTTAAAACTTTCAGCGATTGCTAAGAGCAATAGCATGTACAAAATGTATATCTCAGAATTTTGATATCTATGACCTAAGGTCAGGTCAATTTTGCGACCTCCCCATTATAAGTCAATGGGAGAAAATTGAAATGCGCCTCTTTTGGATGAAAGACATTATAAACACTCCCAAACACCGAATTACAAGTGGTTTAGACACACTGAACTTGAAAATGGTGTCCGTGACCCTTGTTTATGCCCTGAGGTCATCTCAGGTCACGAATGGTATCTAACAGTTTTTCGCAAATAACTTTTGATAGAGGCATGCTAGAGCGATGAAAACGCCTTAGATGTGTTCAGCTCGACGATACGGATCGACTGATATGCAACATGACCCTTTCCGGTCAGGTCATGACCTTGACCTGAGGTCAAATTTTCAAGTTGACCTTTCAAGGTCAAGTTATAGTTCATTCGATGCGTCTTGACGAGAGGAACACGATGCCGGTAAAAGTAAGCTCGTACAAGGCTTGGGTCAAAAGTTATTGCAGAAAAACTGTTTTCGAAAAAATCGGCTATTTTTGCAGTTTTTGCCCCCTGCAGGCAAAACCGTTGACGTTAGGTCAAATCTGAGAGAATTACTCAGAAAGGGCGTTAAAAGGGCTATCGAATGCGCTTTTTCGCGGCGCTGTACCTCTATTGGTTCCCGAGTTATGCGTTGGCTTCTTGGAAATTTTCGACATTCGACCTGGAAATCGGCGAAATTTTGCCTTCAATGACCTCTGGTGACCTGACCTTTGACCTGACCAAAAAATTGACCGAAGTGATTTCGTCATTATTTTTGACGCTCTTTCGAACGCCGCCTTCCGCGTATCGCTACGTGGCCCAGGAGCCGAGTTACAAGGGGGGGTGTTCAAACACCCCCCCCCCCCAGCAGGGCGTGGAAATCCAGGACCCCCAGCAGGGCGCGGGTTAAATCGAATATACAGAAATATAGAATTATTAATATATCGCTCAATGACGTTTGTTTTGTAGGTATATCATCAATGGAGCACTGTGATGCAGATGCGTACCCGAAATTCTTCCAAATACGAGCTATTCTCCTTTTTGATTGTGCATTTTTTTTAAGAAACACGCGACATGATTATTTCCTGATTTATAGACTTGAAAGATTTATTTTATGTTTTTCTTTTTGGATACTAGAATTAACTTAAATGCCTTCTGAGTTTGAAGTTAAGCATTTGGACAGTGCAAGCTGCATAGGTGTGTTTTCATATGCTTGCGTACTCCACCCGCCTGGCGTGCGTACTCTTACACACCCCATATGGTAAGAGTACGCAAGTGCAACGGTTCAGAAAATGTCAGTCTTCGACCACTTCCATTTACGCTGAAGGATTGTTGCCCCATGGGTTGATGGCTAATTCAATGAACTTTAATATTCCCTATTTGCGATTTCTTTCCTTCAAATATTAAACAAATGAGAGCAAGAAATCCACTAAGTGCGTACTCTTATACGACTTCACCCTACTGTACCTATATTCGATATAATATGTAGTTCTGCGTACTCTTACCCTCATGAACAGCGCGTCCTCTTACCCTACCTGCAATGCGCACACAAAACAACCCCGAAACATTGTATAAAAACTTCACAAACAGAATATTGCACTGCACAGTATTTCCCCAGAAAACCACACAAGTTTCCCACAACAATCACGAAACTGTACCCTATCTCAACTGCCAAATATCAAAATTATTGCACCATACCATAATAGTATCATAACCTCCTAAATAATATTCATCGCCTTAAACCCAACAGCACCACCGCACAACGGCCACGTTCCGTTGGTGACAAACACGCACTGGCGGCTTCATGTCACTTCATGAACTTGACAAACCCGCGTTGCTAGGCAACCGAAAAAGCTGATGCGTACTCTTATTGCCCGCGTCCTCTTACCCGCCCTTACCCTATATTGTCTGTTATACAGTCAATAAGTTATGTTTTTATAAGCAAAATTACTCCTTACTAACCCTTTTTGTTACGCACCCTGACCCATCTAATATCAGTTGGTGGATGTTAACTTGTATCTGTAATCATCAATATTCAAATATGATTTGAATTTCTTATGATAATACTGCTCACACATGTTCCACCTCTGACTCACTCCCTGCTCCCTGTAGGAAACAAATAATTCCAGCTGTGTGCACCGCGGTCGTGTGCTCCCAAGTCCCAGCATTAGGCTGTTGCTAATTGACTGTTATGAAATTTCAACAGCTAAAAAGGAACAACAAAACACTTCTTTAAATACCTGCATGTTTGCTATGATAGCGAGCTAGGATGCTATGGGTGGGCGTGTGCAGTGGTGCTGTTGGGTTTAAGGCGATAAATATTATTTAGGAGCGTTATGATACTATTATGGTATGGTACAATAATTTTGATACTTGGCAGTTGAGATAGGGTACAGTTTCGTGATTGTTGTAGGAAACTTTGTGGTTTTCTGGGGAAATACTGTGCAGTATACAAAAGATCCCAATCAATAGGTTGTGGTCACTTCGGAATAGAATAGGTTGTGAGTTGTTATGTAGAATATTAACTATTAACGCCCTCTAGAAACTATTAACTCCCTCTCTGAATAATTCTCTCGGATTTGACCTAACGTCAACGGTTTTGCCTGCAGGGGGCAAAAGCTGCAAAAATAGCCGATTTTTTCGGAAACAGTTTTTCTGCAATAACATTTGACCCAAGCCTTGTACGAGCTTACTTTTAACGGCATCGTGTTCCTCTCGTCAAGACGCAACGAATGAACTTTAACTTGACCTTGAAAGGTCAACTTGAAAATTTGATCTCAGGTAAAGGTCATGACCTGACCGGAAAGGGTCATGCTGCATATCAGTCGATCCGCATCGTCGAGCTGAACACATTTAACCCGCGCCCCAGTGGCGGTCTCAGCCAACTTCGCCCTAGTGGGGGGGGGGGGGCATATGACCACCCACCTCTAACTCAAAAACTAACAGGGCTAGAAAGACGTGATAAAAAGCAGTCGATAGCTCTCAATGCGTACGTTTGAAAGCATCTCGGCCATTTTTCATCTCAGAGCAATATTGGGGTCACCAGAGGTCATCAAAGTTCAAAGCTTGGTCAGTTAACTTGGCCTGGTGACCTGACCTGACACGACCTGGGGTAAAAAAAATTCACACATTGTCCAAAATTGATGTACAAAAACTACCCCAAGCGGCGTGGCGCTACGCGCCGCGGTTTTTTATTCACACGCAAAAAACGCGACAGGGTGGTAACATATGCCCCCCCCCCCCCACTGTACTGCAAGGCGTTTTCATCGCTCTAGCATGCATCTATCATAAGTTATTTGCGAAAAACTGTTAGATACCATTCGTGACCTGAGATGACCTCAGGGGCATAAACAGGGGTCACGAACACCATTTTCATGTTCAGTGTGTCTAAACCACTTGTAATTCAGTGTTTGGATGTGTTGTTTATAATGTCTTTCGTCCGAAAGAGGTGCATTTCAATTTTCTCCCATTTCACAACATGTGTAGAATTGATGTGTGATAAGGTGTACCAAAAACGGCGGTGCGGAGCGCCGCCGTTTTTTAGATATTCGCGAAAACCCACAGGGGGGGGGGGTCCAAACACCCCCCCCCCCCAGCAGGGCGCGGGTTAATGCTAAGTCGACATGATGCATTTGTTGTTGTGTTTAAAGCCGGCTGGCGGCTGTTTTGACGCAGCGGCTGTGGTGTGTGACCACTGGGCTCGTTCTGTCCGCCAGTTTATGCTGGAGGCCACGCTGACGGCTCTGGCCTTGGACAGTCTGCGCGACTCGCACCCCATCTCCGTTGAGGTCACCGACCCCGACCAGATCGAGTCCATCTTTGACACCATCTCTTACAGCAAGGTACGGCCGCCGCCGCTTTCCGCGCATATCCAACGCAGCCAAGACACACAGATGAGATGGAACCCACGGAGAAGTTTACTTAGCTACGCAGTTTGGTAACGGTGCGGCTAGTATAGTCCCTGTTGAAAGTATCGCTACTCGAAAGTATTGCTCTCCCCTCCCTGGTTTGAGAGCCGCTGGGTTTTGAGGGTTGGCCGCCTGGCCGGCCCGTAACGATGCTTTCAAATAGCGATACTTTTAAGAGAGGCTATACTAGTAAGAACTAAGGCGCCTATTAACCCGCGCCCAGATGGGGTCTGCCGAGCAACGCGGTCTGATGGGGGGGGGGGGGCATTTTGGCCCCCCCCTCAGATCTCGAGAACCACGCAACATAGCGACAAGCGGTAAACGGTGTTGGATAGCCCCAGCGGGGAACTACCTTGTGACCCAATTTCATTGACCTCGGTCAAACCGATGACGTCACAGGTCAGGTCAAAGGTCGAATTTTCACCGTTTACAGGCATTTCAAGAAATGCGTTGTAAAATCGAGTAAAATGCATTTCATTGAAAATCATCGATGGAGAAATGTTCTTCAAACACATATTTTGCTATTTGAGGTCACTGATACCAGGTCAGGTCACAGAGGTCAGGTCACTGGGGGGGTCACAATATGAAAGTGTCGTGTGATACATGTTTTATGGTCCATTTTACATGACAAATGCGATTATGTGGGTCAGACAGACTTTAGGGCCAGCTTAGGTCACGTTTTGGTCAAGGTCAGGTCAAGGTCAGGTCAAGGTCAGGTCAAATTAGGTCAAATTTCAAAGTTGATATTTTTGCATAAAATGGGTATCGATTCGATGCAGCTCGTCACGGGGAGTTCAATGGTGGTCTCCGTTTTGCGGTACGAGGTCTAGAATTGCTAAAAATTGAGTTCAAAAATTTGACGTCATCAATTTTTAAGTTTTTTCGCTATAACTTGGCCAAAAAAAGAGGTATCGATCTAAAATTTGGTATGTATATCGAAGAGCGCAGGGACTATCACATATATTCCGGTTTTTTTCGAAATTCGAAAAATTTTTTGGAATTTTTTTGAGTTTTTCTGAAAAAATCATTTTTTTTGATTTTTGGGGGTCAAAATCCCAAAATTTCGAAAATCCGAGATAGCAGTTTTGTAGCGCCGTCTTTTCTCTACACAACCACATAAAGAACTTTAAAATTGCTTGTTAACTGTAGAATTGGTGAGCGTTTCAAGATGTCATGTTTTTTGCTCATTTTTGCTCGAACATGACCTCAGTTTGACCTCAATAACTCCTGACCTGAGGTGACCTGTGACTTAAAATTTTGTGTGAAGGTGTCAAATTGATGCCCGGTAAGGTACCCAAAATTTGGCGGCGCTGCGCGCCGCCGTTTTCTCGCTATTTAAGAAAAACCACAGGGGGGGGCCAAAATGGCCCCCCCCCCATCAGGGCGCGGGTTAAACGAGTGAACGAGAGTGTGAGCCCTGGCAATATGTCAGTGCGAGAGGGTACTTCCCATTGACTTGTGCACGGCATCCTTCTTATCGGTCTCTATAGATCGTTTTCTCCTAGTGCTGCTACCCTCACTGTAAACATCTTTTTGAACACAGCACGAAAATTGCTGATATTCACGAAAATTGCTGATCCAAGTAATTCTTACTTGAAAAACTGGTAAGCACACATTGTGTTGGAGAAATGAATGCAAGGTGACAAAAAAAAACACGGGTCTTAACTTTCGATAGCTGCCATTTTATCAATGCTTGTCAAAATCAATTGACACTTGCGTGGTAATTACTTCAAAATGTTGGTTACATCATATCCAAATTTGGAAACTCCAGGTCAGTACCTCTGGATTCTACAACAGTTCTTCGAGATGACTGCATTTTGGAGCCGTGCATTTCTTGAGGTGCATCGGGTGGACCTCAAAGTTGCCAATGTTAACAGCTCGGCTGTACCTTTCGTGAGGGTTCTGCATGCTTTAGATGGGTGTCATTAGCTGTTTTGGGGTCACACCCTACCCCATAGCTCGAAATTGGGTCCATCCAAGCCTTTGCGGGGGTCCCTTGACACCCAAATTGCGTCCCGAAGGTCACATTCGCGCTTCAATGCGGTTTCGAATGCACCTCACGGAAGAACAGAGCACTAGGTTGGATATTCCACTAGTCAAGAACAAAACGGGATGGTCGATAACATCACTGCAGCCTACTGCAACCTTCCGAACCATTCAGAACACCCCAGGAAGGGTGCAGCTGAGCTGACGTCTACGGAAACAACTGGATGCTGTTGGTAAGGCACGATATGCACGATAAAGCACGGCGGTAAATCTGTGGCACATTTCAAACAACGTACTACAAAGAAGAAATGCGCTGGAAATTTCATTTTTTGTATGTTATTGTCATCATTTCAACCTACTTACTGTATCGAGAAGCTGAGCGAATGTCGATTCCTCGTTTTCGATAGTACTACTGAGATAATAATGGATTGGTGTCTTCGCATTTTTTGGCGACATTGAGCTCAGGCCTGCCATCTAGCGGGAGAATTATCGTAAGTTAGGAGCAAGCCGAGTGAACGCCGCTGATTAGCATTGTGACACACGGGAGTGTGGTGTAGTAGCAGGCTTGTTGTGCAATTTTTCAAAAGGTTTTGTCTTTATATGTCAGTAAAAGCGAAGAAATTAATAGATTTATGTGCAGGGTCAGTAATAAGATAAGCAGTTCCATCTTATTTCCTCATTAAATCGTGAAACAGGGAGTTATTGGAGACTTCGCCAGCACGTGTCGTTTTCGCTATTTTTCACATGAGTCTTTACTTGGCCTAAATCAAACAAATTGTCCCATCAAAGAACAAAACGAACGTAAGTACTTTCTATAAGTCTAATGAAAAAGTTACTAAAGGAATTGCTAACGTCATTTGCCGCTCAATATGTCATTCAAGACGCTCTATGAAAAGGACCCAACCAGTGCTGCGTAGTCAATGAAATTTCAGTGACTTTGGCTCCAACTACGATTCCAGTATCCAAATATCGACTCCGACTCCTCCGGGCAGAACTGTCGATTCACACAGACTCCGACTCTGACTCCGACTCTGCAGCCCTGGTAAGTCTGTGGAGTCGATGACTTTTCGGTGACGTAAGACGTTCGACTCATCACTCATACGCCGACTACAGCTTTTAAAAATCAATGGACTCCGGGTCGGAACAGAACCGATGGCTCTGACTACAACTCCGCAGCCCTGGCCCAAGATAGCCGCCTTAAACAACTTTGATGTGTGATCTTCTTTGTACATTGTTAATGTTATTTTAAGCAAGGAGTGGAAAAGGGAGACGAAGCCTTCACAAACAGGGATCTCCTGTTGCGGATCGATCGGCCGCTGGAATAGAAAGGCATAAACACAACGCATCTCATTTCATCGTTTTCCTAACGACTCTGCACCAATGTAAGCACTGATCAATGCAATGCGAGTATCGATATGACACTTATGTATCAATTTTGAGTGTTATCCGCCCAGCCGTTCTTGAGATATGGAAGCGGCACCCCGCACGTGCGCACGTGCAGTAGCACCCCCATAGTGACACATGGAAATGCATTGGCCACTGGGTGCCTAACAATTGACGAAGTTTTACTGTAATTGGCCTAGCCATTGCGGAGTTACTTTATGTGGAACAATATCGACACCCCTAAGGTGGCACGTGGCACGTGCCGTAACATTAACCAAGATGAAGAAAATCGGGCGAAATTCGGAGAAGGAATAAGCCTACCAAATATGCATGACATATTGTCAAACTGCTGTACGTACCATTGCGAGTAAATGACCATATAAAAGATCGTACAAGCCGATTGGACTGGGCGTTTCAATACACACCGTCTTACGCATTTTATTTTCGTGATTATCTAAAGGCTGCTTGACATGTTTGGCTTTCAAGCATTTAAGACATTTTTTTGTCGTCTCAGGTCCAGTAAGATTGCCTCCAACTCTTGGGAATATGCACTTCAAGCCAACTAATACACCACACCCACGTGTGTCATAATGCTGAGAGATGGCGTTCACTCGGCTTGCTCCTAACTTACGATAATTCTCTCGCTAGATGGCAGGCCTGATCCCAATGTCGCGGATCCCAATGTTAATTTCCACGAGACACCAATCCAGACGAGAATTGCTAGCTGAATTACTGAGAAAACTGGTTAGCGCACATTGTATTGTAGATATGAATAATATTATCAAAATAAGGTTTGAACACCGACGATTTAACGTTATGTTAAGCGCCGTGCAATTTATTTATTAGTTCAGACATAATTGCTGAGAAGTCGTCTATCCCTGTGGGGCTGTAGGTATTGGCAAATACGAGCTACGAGTCAATGAAAAAGTAAATAAATTTGATGAAATTGATCGTCTGTGAAATCTGGTGAAATCAATGTGCGCCAACCAGTTTTCTCAGTAATTCAGCTAGCAATTCTCGTGCTGTGTTCAAAAAGACGTTTACAGTGAGGGGCAAACTTAAGAAAAACGAACTATAAGTAGATCGCTACTTAGCGATCTCATTTATTTCACGAAACCTTGTTTAAATTTTCGTGGTTGTTCTTGCTTTATTTTCCGTATATTTCTTAGTTTTGAAATAAGCACACTGTAGTAAGTAGCAAAAGCAGTATTTATATTTGTTTTGTTTCTGCTATTGGTTACACCTATGTGCTATGCTTTCGTGTTCTTAATGTATATCAGTCGGGGGAGGTTTGGTCAATCGTTGTCATTTTCAGCACATGCCATTTTTGGCAACCATGTGCCAAAAATGACAACGCTATCAACAATTTTTAGCAACGATGAAGCCGATTTCACTCCTCAGCGAGGAAATCACGATTTTGGAAATACAAGCACCGATTTGGGAAAAGAAGTGCTGCCACCTGGTGCAAGAAGAATAAACCAGCTTTAAAGGGACCCTCCCACCTTCAAAAAAGTTTATGAATTGGCATGAAAGTGATGTCGCTCGGTTCAGAAAGAGCGAACACG